AATGAAAATTAAAATTAAAAACAAAAATCAAAATAAAAATTAAAAAATGAAAAATAAAAGGAATAACATAAAATAAAGTTAGCGAGTTGTTTTTTTTCCTGTTTTTAAGTCGATATTTGTACTCGTCTATATTTTGTTGCTCGGTAACTGTCACCGATGACTGTTGGGAGAAATCAACGGAAGTCATTGATAAGAACAAAAAGAAAAAGTAAATCGATGATAGGGGATGAATAAAATGGATGAAAACGGATCAACTGGTCAAAGAAATAAGAAGAAAGTTAAAAAAAAAAAAGGATAAGAAGATAAAGGAAAAAAAATGATTGTAATTGGCTTACTAAATACCATATATTTCTTTCACATCGTTCACTAAAAATATGTTCAGTGAAGGTATAAGTCGTTAATGCCAATATTGTTGTAAAAACTGTAGTTATCGAGTATCTGTAAACCGTGACTGATACATTTTAAGATTTTGACAGCGGTACCTAGCTGAGAATTTGATATGTTTAACAAAGCAAAACGTTGAACTAACTGTTAGACAGGATAGTTTTTTTTTTAAAATTATTAAAAAAATATATATCATTAAAACTTGTCTTTATAATCAGTCTAAAAATAACTGTACCAAATAAATAATGATCAAAAGTTCTTCAACTATCAATTATATCTTCTTTTCAGTTACTGTTGCTTTTTTTTTTGCCAAACTATATTTATTGTTAGTTTTCATAAAAAATCTTTAGTTCTTTTTTTGTTTTATTTGTATGACAGACAGTAGTTATTATCGGCAGTAATTAAAGCTTCAGAAAAAAACCCACTTACAGGATTAATAGTTCATACGAATACTCGTAGAATGTATGTATTCGTCCAACACATAACAGTGCCGTACAAGCGGCTATTATTGTCAGCAAAAAGAAGTAAAATGATACGCTATCTGAAATTTTTTTACAAGTTGCTTTTATGGTCTTAAATTTTTGAGAAAAAAAAATATTTTTAAATTTTCATGCTAAACTATCAGTTGAATTTTTTTTTTTCAGTTTTATCGATAATCAACAAACATTAAAACAGTTGTTGATATGACAAAAAAAAAAAAAGCAAGGAAAAATGTTAATTTACATATTAGAAATTCTAAGATATCAGTTTTCCAGCTACACAGATCGTCGATGAATAACATTCGTTTTTGCCATTCCAATTCCAGAAATAGTCCATATGTTGATAAAACCAGTGAATTTAGTAAAAATAAACTCAGAATAACAGTCTTTTTGTCAAAATTAAAGCAGCTGATTGTACTGTTATCATGATTATTGTAATAACCTTTACGGAATACCAAACCAAATGGCAGCATCTTTAAGTTTTACCGCTTTTTTGTTGCTTAATTTGAATACAGTTCAACTTTTCGTCTTTTATTTTTTTTTTTCACCTTTCTTCAAATAATCTGTAAACCGTCAGTGACGATTAACGTAACAGACATATTAATGTGTAATGTTTTTTCTTTCCTGAAGTACAAACACATTCATCAGATAGATACAGCTTTTTTTTTCGTTGCTTAACAGATACGACAAAATTTGTGTACCGTTGTAAGATGGTGTTTCAGCTATTTAGAATACGCTAACAACTTTACAGGTATTCAGTATAGTGATATTTGTTAACCAAATAACTCGTAACAAAGTTAACAACCAAAATTATATCAATAATTCAGAATTGCATAGCACAATTTTTAAAACGATCATATATATATTTTACGGATAAATAGTATCAGCAAATAAAAATTGAAAAACTGCAAGCAGCCACTGATACCGTGGAACGGCTAAACAAAAAAAATGAATTGTACGTTTGTTATTTAGCTGCCATTACTGTTCTTTGTAACATTCAATGGTAATATTAGACGAAAAATATTACAAACTGTTTAAGCCTTAAAAAAAAATACTAATCTATACAACGAACAACGTTAACCACAATCGAGGATAACTGTGTTACTTAAAAAAAAAAAAAAACAAGAAAAAACGACTTTTTTTTTTTTACAACATCGTCGAAATAATAAATTTAAC